AAAAAAAAAAAAAAAAAAAAGCAAAGAAAGAAAAAAAAACCAAACAGTAATACAAAACTTTCTTTTCAATCAACTAAGATAAACTGGCAGTATAAATAAAACAAATGATGAATGAATAAGGAAAATGTGGTATTTATACACACTGGAGTATTATGCTGCTATAAAGAAAGATAAACTTGAGCCATTCATAGGTAAATCGGTGCACCTTGAGAACATAATGTTAAGTGAAATAAATCACACACGAGTTCATATATTGCATGGTTTCTCTTATATGCGAAACAATATATCCCTAGGCCTTTTTAAAATTTTGTATTTTGAGACAGGGTCTCACTGAGTGGCTAAGATGCCCAGGCTGCGTTCAAACTTGGAGTCCTCCTGCCTCAGCTTCCCAGAGTGCTGGGAAACCACTCCAGTGGTTTCTCATGAGTATGTATGTATGTATGTATGTATGTATACACAAAGAGCAAAATAGAAGAGAGATAAGTAGGAAATAGGGAGAAGTTCAAATACTTCCCCAAATTATGTGTTCTGTTGTTTCAGGTGTCATCTTCAAGTACTAACCCAGCTTTTTTTCCATCAGGCAGTGATAACCTTTTAGACATCTTGAGGAGGAAATGGTGGAAGTACATCCTACTGGGACTAGCAGATGTGGAAGCAAATTACCTGATTGTCAAAGCGTACCAGTACACAACTCTAACCAGTGTCCAGGTGAGGGTGGCCCTCTGACCACCTTGGGTTTTACAGCTTCAGAAAGAGAATGACTGTCTCCATATGTGTTAATCTAATTCTATTGACAACCTGTTCACTTGAAGAAAACCTAAACACAGGTGGATGGTGTCTGTTTTCTGTAGAGCATATGTTCTAATGAGTAATGTTTCCCTGAATTAGAGGAAATGTATACAAGTTAATCACTTTCTAAATTGCTAATTCCATAGTAGATCAGAACAATTCCTACCAAAATAAGCATAAATGTTTAGTTGACAGTTGATGCTGTGATGTTGAACTGAGTTCTGTTTTATGTGTTGCTCAAACATCAAAGTGGATGTGTCTTTGTGGGGTAGAAAAGATGGAGGCTTATAATCAAAGTAGACATTCATGACATAACAAACCACTGGAGTGGTGCACACCTGTAATCCCAGCTCTTTGGGATGCTGAGGCAGTAGGATTCCAAGTTTGAATACAGCCTAGGCAACTTAGCCACTTAGTGAGACCCTGACTCAAAATATAAAATAAAAAAGGGCTAAGGATGTAGCTCAGTTTGAAGGTCCTGGGTTAAATCTTCAGTACTGCAAAAGCAAACAAAACAAAACCCACTGGAAGGAGCGAGCCTACTCAACATTCTGGGGAGATGTGGTAGCCAAAGGTAAAATTCCCATTCCTCTTTCTTTATTAGGTTTGTTCTGGCTATGTTGAAAGAAAAATGGACCTATATATCAGTACTTTGCAACTTTGTGGAGTTGAGAAAGACTGATTTAAGCTCTCCCAGTGTTAGCAAATGGTGGGATGTATCATACCACTGACTCACCATTGCTAACAACAAAATCTTTTATAAACAGAGGTGAAAGTGAGTAGACACTAATTCCAGATTTAGACTCACATCTTAATGAATTTATAACTTTTTGGTGAATTAGATTTCTCACTATACATAGCCTAGAGAAGTTCATATTAGATCTCAAACTTTAAGAATTGTGGAGAACTAAAGTGAAATTAGACTTATTTCACTGCAAAAGGTAGGAATCAATGAAAACAATATTTGTCTGATGTGAACATACATTAAGCATTATTATCAGAATGCATAAGGGTAAAAGTATGTAGAAAACGGTATTTTCTAGCCACATAACTCTCTTGATTACAACTTTTAGAGACTTTATCATCTAATAATGACAAAAATTTTTGAATTGGTGAAAGATTTAAACAGTGTTAAACAAAACTCTTATAGTTGGATTTTTGTGACTGAAGTTTATGTCTTACAGTATCAAAAACAATTTCTTTCATCCTTGCCTAGTAGAAAAACCTGAGCATTTGTCAAAAGTCATGCACTTATGGTCTAAAGCTGAACAACTAACAGCTAAAGCTCCCTCTAGCTGCAGAGATGACTGTTATTACTAGAATTACCCAATTTGTGGTCTCAACTTGAATCATTTTTTAGCCTGTGTAATCTGAAAAAGTGGCAGTTTGCATTAGATGGTCTCGGAGCCTCTTTCCTAAGGATTCCTTTGAAGATTCTGTAATTACAAATAGTCACATAGTGGTTCATGTGAAGTCTATGCTGTGGCCATTGGCACCGATGGCCTTGGTTTCCTGTCCTGTTCCTTCTGCTGCCACATCTGCCTGTTCTTGCCACAGTCTGCTCCTTCTCTCTTAGACTGACTCTATTTTTTCCTAGAATGCAATCTGTTTGGAAGACCTTCCCCCATCCTCTAAGGCCTAATTCAGCCTTGCTTTTTCTTTGGTGCGCTTTTGCACTTCTAGTATGTTTTAATGTGGCCAAACTCACTTTTATATCCATATTGCCCCATTCCTGTCCCCAGGGTCTTACTTTGTACTCTGTTTATTATGACTGTACAATTTTTTTTGGTTTGGTTCTTTCATTTGTTTTTTTGAGACAGGGCCTTACTATGCAGCCCAGGGTGCCTCAGCCTCCCAAGTGCTGGGATTATAGGCTGGGATTACACTGTGCCTGGCTCATAGCTTTTTTTTTCCATTAAGCTTATCGGTACATTTTAGGTGCACAGTACAGTTACATTCATCATTGGGATCTTGTACCTTTACATGATGTATCTTTGTTCTTATTTTTTCCCCAGTCCCTGCCCTCCCTTCACTCCCTCCACCCTTCCCTATTTACAAAGACTTTGTTTCCACTTTTTCCTTTTCTCATATTTTTTCTTTTCCCTTCTTTCCTTTTCCCTACTCCTCTCATTTCCCCTTCCCCTTTAGACCGTCTCTTCCCATTTCACATTATCAGTGATACATTTTGATCTTTATTTACGCTTTTCATTTTTCACACCAGAGAAACTATTTGGTATTTACACGTGTGTGTCCTATTTATTTCTGGCTCATAATTTTTAAAGATTAAATTAAATGAGACTCTGGGAACTGAATGGATCAAAGAAGAAGATGTCTGCCATCAAGAATGTGTTTCCCCTGAAGGTGATATGTATCAGATGAGAAGTTGTGGAATTTTAGAGTAGTTGGAGAACTGAGATCATTTGTCTGGCCCCTTCAGTCCATATTTTGACTCAGAGAGGGCACAGAACTAACTGATCAGTGGTAGGGTGGAGCTGAGGCCTTTGGGGCTCATTCAGTGAACAGGTAGCTCCCTTATAGGGTTATTCATGGCTCAACAAAATTGTTTAAGATTGATTCTAAGACATTTGAGGGTAGGGAAAGCCGGGCATGGTGGTGCATACATGTAATCCCAGGATTTGGGAGGCTGAGGCAGGAGGATTGCTGTGAGTTTGAGACCAGCCTGGACTACATAGTGAGTTCAAGACCAGTGTGAACTATGTAGAGAGACTCTATCTCAAAAAAAGCAAATTAAAAAAAATTAGGTGGTAGGGAATCTTCTGTGAAAAGTTTTTGGAGTGGATTTTTTTCTACCTGTTTTTTTGTTTGTTTGTTTATTTAAGAAATATAGTTTAGACTTTGTTAAACCGTTATGGCTGAATTCTGCTGGTGTCTTTCAGGACAGGCTATTATCATTTGCATCATTTAATGATCTGTTATTCAGGCAGGCTGAATAAAGCACTTAGGAGATTAGAGTTAGGCAGCTGGAATAAATAACAAGGCAAGACACCCATTCCTACACATGGTGTGCTGGACTCCAGTGATGATAGTGCAATGAAAAGCAATCAGTAAACAGCTGCAGATGGGATCAAATAGGCTGCTAGAGATTTAGGGGTCTGCCTGGTTCATGACTAAACAGATGCAGAAAGAATCTAGGATATGACTTAAAAAACAAGCAAACAAAAACTAGGATGAGCAGTAAAACAGCTTTCAGAAATATTATTAGTCTAATGCATGTATTTTATTTTTATTTTTATTTAGTTAGTTTTAGATAGGGTCTTACTCTAGTCCAGGCTGGCCAAGGACTCACAGTCCCTCTGCTTCAGCCTCGTTAGTTCAGAGATTACAAGTGTGTGCCACCATGCCTAGTTTTATTCTGGAATATACTTAAATGCATCAAAAATTATCCTTGAATATATGTTATCCTTGAGTTAGCAAAAAGTTTGTGACATTAAGAATTGAGCAAGTGAAATTTGTTTTTTCTTTGTCTTGTGAATGATTTTGACCCTGTTAATCCCCCTGCCTTTCAGATGGGCAATATCAGGGTGTGGCACACATTTTCTGGACCCTGTTTAAAGTTGTTTTTCCTTCCTTGCAGCTTTTGGATTGTTTTGGGATTCCTGTGTTGATGGCTCTCTCATGGTTTATTCTTCGTGCAAGATACAGGGTGATCCACTTCATCGCTGTGTGTGTCTGTCTGTTGGGCGTAGGAACCATGGTTGGCGCAGACATATTAGCAGGGAGGGAAGACAATTCAGGTGAGATATCTGTGTTACTTGTTTGTGGTTTGGTCACAGAAAAGTTTTGCTCAAGTTTTCTCTTTTAGTTTTCCAAAGATATAGTAAAAGGTAGAAAATACAGCCTGGTTAGCTACATTTTAAATTTTACTTTTTTTCTGGTGTTTTCTAACCATTTCCACATAATCTTTATGTCCCTACTGGCCCACAAACCTCGCTTTTCTGATTTTTTTCACACTAATTAATTTTATTTTGTCTCATGACGGAGAAGTTTCTTTTCTCTTTTCTTTTCTTTCCTTTTCCCCTTCCTCCCTCCCTCCTTCCTTCTCTTTTTTAAAAATTTTTTTTATTTTTTATTTTTGTGTTGGAGATGGAACTCAGGACCTTCACCCTGAACTTCATCCCCAGACCTCTTAATTTTTTATTTTGAGACAAGATCTCACTAAGTTGCTCAGGCTGGTCTCAAATTTGCATTCCTGCCGCCTCAGCCTCCCAAAGTGTTGGTGTGTGCCACCACACCCAGCTGAGATGTTTCTATAAAAATTGTGTGTCTGCAGTCATCTTTTGGTTCAAACATTTTGGATTAGTTACTGGAAAACTAGATTTTTTTTTTTCTTTTGTCAAAAAAGAGACTTGGTATTCACTAGTGACCTCTTTTTAAATCACTTTGTAGATGACAACACTTTGATACACTTTGTGTTAAATCCAGACAATTGACAGCATAAAATCTAGGTAAAGTTTCACCCAATCTACAAGTGACACCAGCATCTCCTTGGATTGAGAGAGAAAATTACCCGGCTTACAAGCTTCCTTCTCTATAGTTTTCAGTAAATCCCATGAAACTGCCAGCTGTAGAATCATTTTCTGAGGCCTTATGTCACGGTTATGTTGTACCTTCCTCCTGTCCATTAGTCTCGTGAAGAGTTGAAATATGAAAATTTGCCATGTGATGAAATTTGTGCCAGACAGTGAAAAGAATAAGAGAGTTTAAACTCCTAGAAACCAGTGTTGCAGAAAATCTTATTTGAATGAAGAGGAGTCATATAAACTCCTGATTCACCTACTGACTGTGTATCCCTTTGTGGGTCTTGTCTGCCGGCAGGGAGTGATGTACTGATTGGTGATATCTTGGTCCTGCTTGGGGCATCCCTCTATGCTGTTTCTAATGTATGTGAAGAATACATTGTGAAGAAACTGAGCAGACTGGAATTTTTAGGAATGCTGGGCTTATTTGGAACAATTATCAGTGGCATACAGCTGTAAGATTTTAAATTTTTTCTTAGAAATAAAATAAGCAAATTTGTCATCATAAATGATTACTTTCTAAACATTAATATTCTTTGTTTAGTGCAAATTCATATTTGAAATTAGTAACTTGTTAAAAATGTTAGAGGATTGTTAAAACATCAAGACTTATGCCTTATTTTCTTACATATGTATGATATTCACGATTTCTGATTACAGTGTGGTGGTATTACCAGTAAGGACTTTTCTTTTTCAATTATTTCCAGAAAATATTGGCACATTAATTTCCTAAACTTATTCAAGGAAAATCATTATGTCATGTTTTCCTAGTAAAGAAGAGCACCTGTAATCTAATTAGACACATCTTTATTGATTCCTTTGCTTTTATTCTTTGGCTTTTTAAAAAGATAATTATTTTTATAATCTAAGAAAAACACAAAAGTCAACATAATTCCTTATCTTATCTTAGCTGAAGTATAGCAACTAAACTGTTTATAAAATAGTAAAACTTCCTAAGTGGATCTCTTTTGGCCTCTTATTTTAACCTTAGATTGGTTGTGGAATATAAGGATATGGCCAGCATTCACTGGAACTGGAAAATTGGTATGTAAATGAATGATCTTTGTTTTTAAGTATTGTCTTTTTTTTTTTTTTTTCTGAGGCAAGGTCTCACTATGTAGTTCAGGCTGGCCTCGAACTCACTATGTAGCCCAGACTGGCCTGGAACTTGCAGCGATCCTTTTGCCTCAGCCTCCTGTGTGCTGGGATTACAGGTGTGAGCCACCATGCCTGGCAGTATTCTTTTAACTGACAAAAATGCACATCAAGAAACAAATGCTTTCTTTTGATAATATTGATGTATTTTTGCAAAGTCATACCAGTGATGGTGGTTTACATTGAGTTTTCTCTGAGAGGTGGTAGGTGAACCTCCATAAAAGTCAATTCTTAATATTTACCAACAGGAATAACTTTTTCTTTTTGCAGTGCTGGGGATTGAACAGAGGGCCTCATGTATGCTAGGCACTTGCTACATTCCTAGGCCTTTTTAATTTTATTTTGAGACAGTGTCTCAAGTTTCCCAGGCCTTGAACTTGTGATCTTCTTGCCTCAGCCTCCGAAATAGTTGAGATTATAGGCATGTGTCAGTCACTACCACTATGGCTGGCAACTTTGCTTTACTAGGAATTCTGAAGGCTGAGGTTCACACCAGATTTCAATTATATCTGAATCTTAGGTCCTCAGACTTGTGAAGATTGTCTGTCATCTAGAGGTGTAATTAGTGAAATATAAAACATTTAACCAAAGCATCTGATGGTTATGAAATCACCTACCACCTCCCATTTCTTCTTTCATTTGATATTCCTGGACATTGGCACAAATAACTAAAGCAGGAGAAAGTGTTAGGACTGCTAGGAAAGATTTGAACCTTGTTTAATGAGGGGCAGAAAGAGGTTAAATAGTGCATAAATGTCATCAAAGCTTGTGTACCATGCTTGGGCAAGTTAGTTCAATTAAATAATGTAGATTGAGTCTGGGATGAGATTAAAAAGTGGTTGCAAACTAGACACATTCCCTTTATCACCAACATCCACGTGACCACCACTTTCTGAAAGAGGAGAGTTACATTGTGCTATCTTGATGCCATGAACAAAATATAATGGATCTAATAGGTGCCTTTGATGTCCTAAAAGTACTTTATTCTAAATCCAGTGACACAAACTGTATCTAAACAGACCAAACAAAAGCAAACAAAAGGTCATGAGTTGTTTTTCTTGATACATGATATTGAGTCTGCTTTTATTGACCTTTTATTATAGGATCACCTTGGCAGGAGGGTTTATAGCACAGGGATAAAAGCTATTGAGTTACTCATACCATAAGTAAATTTTATAGCCTTAGCTGGATGTGGTAGCTCATTCCTGTAATCCCAGAACTCTGGGAGACAGAGACCGGAGATTCCAAGTTTGAGCCCAGCCTGGGGAACTTAGTGACTTAGCAAGATCCTGTTTCAAAATAAAAAATAAAAAGGGTTGAGGATATAGCTCCATGCTCCCTGTTTGATCCTCAGTACTGCACCCTCCTGCTCTTCCCAAGAAAAGATTTCATGGCATTGATTATTTACCCTATTGGATCTTTGAGGTCCTTCATCTGCATCACAACTTGTTATTTTAGTATTGTCTCACAGTGCCTCTTTGTAGTCTCATAGTCTCATTTGCAGTGATGACTGTTAAGGAGATAATTTGTAGTGTGTTAAAGGATCAGAGGGTTTTACGGAGCAACCAAGACTGAAGCCCTTTTTTCTTCTAATTTCTCCCCATAATACTAGATGTTCCATTTTCCCACAGCCCTGCTATTTATGGCATTTGTCTTCTGTATGTTTTGCCTGTATACCTTCATGCCAGTGGTGATTAAAGTCACTAGTGCGACTTCTGTGAACCTGGGCATCCTGACAGCTGACCTCTACAGCCTTTTCTTTGGACTCTTTCTGTTTAGCTATAAGGTAAGAAAATAGATTATGTCCAAGTAAGAATGCTTGCCTGGCCTAAAAGAAGTTTCCTTAAGCAGCTCACCCTCCTTTTATTGTGCCCCTTTCCCTCCCTTCCTCCCTCCCTCTCTCCCTTCCTCGCTTTCTTGATGCAGGATATCTCTCAAATTGCCCTTGAATTTGTGGTGATCCTCCTGCCTCAGCCTCCCAGGTGCTGGGATTATAGGTCTATGTCACTGTGCCTGAATAGCTTTTTTTTTTTCCCTTCTGGTACCAAGAATCAAACTCAGGACCTTGCCCTTGCCAGGCAGGAAAGGTGCCACTGAGCTAAGTCCCTGGCTCCCAAATAGGATTTTTTTTGGTACCAGGATCGAACTCAGGACCTTGAGCTTGCCAGGCAGGCACTATGCCACTGAGCTACATGCCCAGCCCCCTAATAGGATTCTTCTTTAAGACTCTAGATCCAAAAATAAAACCTTCTCATCCTCTTAGCAAGAATTTCATTGGACAGGGCTTACTTCTTTTATTGTTGCTTCTAAATTAGAAAATTGGTCCAAATAAGAATTACCCTTTAAGGGTTTTCCTAAAGGGTGAAATACAGTGGATTTCATCTTTGATGACCTGGCCAGGGACATTGGCTTTTGAAAGCACTTATTGTTACCAGGTGACAAACAATCCCAGGCTGCTGTTGACCTTCAGGACAGCCTTAGGCGGGGCTTTCCTTTTTCCTTTCTGCCCAGATACACAGACAGAAAGTCTGGAGTCCCTGATGAAAAGGAAGGAGAGATGGGTATATTATCATGCATGCATGATTGGAATGGTTGCATCCTTGATGATATATGTAGAAGGGACCTTAAAGGTCCTTCAGCCTGATGGTTTTTCAGACTTTTTCTGTCTCTACCTCCTCACAACACTCACAAGCATAACTCATGACAACAATAACAGTTCCTGTTCTGTATACTAGTTCTCAAGGTGGAGCAGGGGTGGGGGTAGACCAGTGCCTTTGGAAGAAGCAGGAGAATGAATATGGAGCATGGAAAAGAGCATCCCCAGAGCCAGAACCGCCTTCCCTTGAGAATTGCTGATTGGAGTGTCTCATGTTAGGAATGAAGAAAGGAAGGCCCAGAGAGGTCATTTGATTTACCCTTAGTCAGCAGCTGGTTAGTGGTAAAAGTCAAGACCAAATCTTACTTTTTATTAGCATCTTCATCTTCTGTCAGTTCAGTCCTGCTTCCCTTGCATATCCTCCCCACTCCATTTTCATTATTAAGATGAGAATGTCAAGCTCATGAATGCATCACGTTGTCTCACTCATCAGAGATAACCAAATAAATAGATTTAGTTGTTTGTTTTTTAAGACAGGGTCTCACTGCGTAGCCCAGGATGGTCTTGAACTCCCTGTGTAGCCCAGGAGACCTTGAATTTGAGATCCTCCTACCTCAGTCTCCCAAGTGCTGGGATTTCAGGTGTGTGCCACCACACCCAGATTAGATATTTTTAAATTTCATAGCCACTTTGCGAACTTCTAAGGTAGAGAGAGGTTCCCATACTTTTCAATCTCGAGACCCTTTAAAATACTTAAAAATTGAGGACACTAATTACTAATGCCTATTTACTTACCATATTAGAAATTAAAACTGAGAAATTTAAAAATATTCATTTCTTATTAAGACAATAATAAACTTATATATTAGCATAAATATTGTTGTGAGAAAACAATATTGTCCAAAGAGATTATTGTCCAAAATGTCGATATTGTCCATATTGTCCAATATTGTCGATATTGTCCAAAGAGTGATTTTTATATTCAATGTGGTTTAATAGAAAACAGCTAGAATCGCACATCTGCTTCTTCCACCTGCCTTGTTATTTTACATGTCATGTTGATATAGGAGAAATATAACTCCCAGCCTGCTAGATGTCAGATGTGCCAAGTTCATGTTCCCTGAAAGAAAAGAATGAATTCCAAAGGACAAAGGAGGTTAAGAGTAGGTAAGGTTTATTGGGGAATCAGAATAGCTCCTGAGAGCAGAAGGGGTCCCAAGTGGGTTACCGTTAGGGTCATCTCTCTGACAATGTTTTATAGGATAATGTTACCGGACGGGTACAACATGGGTCAAACTATAATCAGCCAATAAGATTACAAGTGTAGCTGCCTAACTACTATTGATCCAATAGGGAAGTGGTGGGTTACATAGCAAGGGCATATGGATGACATCATTAATCTTGGTTGATAATCTGTAGCCTTAGTCTTAAGTCTTAGTCTTAGTGGATGGCCCACCTTTTGTGAGATAATGGTCTATTTCTATGAGAAACCCCAAAAGGGTGATACAGTATAATCTCAAACTTCCATTCATCCCTTAGTGAAGTATGTAAATCTGGCCACAGTTACTTTAATCTCGAGGTCTTGCCTTCTTCAGATGCACCTCCAGCCACAGTTTTGATGTGTTCTCATCTTCTGCACTGACTTACTTGATAGCCCAGCCCCTTTCTGCTTGTATATTAAATTTTATCTAACTTAGCTGCCTATAATAATGTACCCCTGGAACATCCCACTATGCACTTATAAGACAATGAAAATTAAAAAGGCAAATAGCATCTTAGTATTATTGTGAAGTGGTTTTTTTGTTTTTTTTTTTAAGTACCAGGGATCGAACCCGGGACCTTCCGCTTTTGAGGCAGGATAGCAACTGTATTTCTTTGTCCTTGAAATATTGTATCCAAACAGGAATCCTTGATGCTAATTTATATGGGCCATGAACTCACAGTGCTTATCTGAATTATTGATACATAAATCTCCCTGGGTTCTCAGAAATTGCTGCTAATGGAGCATAAACCTTTGCCTTGTCAGATTACACAGAATAGGAACCAGCTGTTATCTTTGCAGTCTTGGTAGTTAAGATATTCCTAAACTAAGACTGAAGGAATCTTTATAGCTTATTGGTAGTGTCACAAAAAGTAAGGAATGTAAGTGAATCAGAGAAGTGGTCTTGACACCCCCCCACCCCGTACCTGCCCTGAATTGACAAGGGCTAATTCAGTCTAAGTTGCTCCATGATGGTGTGGCTGTTTCACATGACCACTTAGTGATGCTGGTGTTTCTATGCTGTGATTTGAGGACAGTGGTAACTGTTAGATTGAGATCTTAAATATTTGTTCTTCAAGTACCCTTCACCTTATGATGAATAAGCCTTTTAAAATGTCACATTGAATGTTCAATCTATAAATTCCTTTTCAGTGCTTTTGTTTCATAGTCCTTTGTCCCTGCATGTCTAGCAATGTCCTCTTAATTCAGATCACATTTTATTGTTTTTTTTGGTCAAAGGCTGTTTTAAAACTTAAGGGCAAAGAGCAGGTCCACTGTGATCTTAAGAATAAGTTACAGAGGTAGATAAAATTCAGGACATAATGACACTTACAATTTTAGACATAGGTTTTAAAGCTGCTACCAATTTAAAACATTGTAGTGCTGAAAATAACTTTGGCTGTGATGTTCTTGAAGCAGACAATTGAAAGCGAGTCTCCCAATTTTTTAATGCTCCTCTATGTCAGACCTTGAGCATTCTTACTCCTGCGGCATTGATCTGAAGTAAATACTTTCTGAATAAAGTGGCCACTAGAAACTTCCTGTATAGATCCAGATACAAAAGATAGAATTAAAAAAACAAAAAAGGTAAGAGCTTCTGCAAATTCAGCAGACTTACCTCACTCAGAGTCTCTTTGTTTTAATAAAGTGCCTCCATTTCACCTTCGACTTTATTAGAGTGATACCACACTGTTTCTTCTGAACAGTTATAGATCACCAAACCAAACAGGGGATGTTTCAAACAAGTTATAGGTTTTCCTACAGGTAACACTGGATACCTCATAAAAGAGCATGATCCTTTTGTAATAGCGACTTTAAAATTTAACGAGCTGAGTGCAATGGTACGTGCTGATAGTCTCAGCTTCTTGGGAGGCTGATACAGGAGGACCTCTTGAGTCTTAAGAGTTCAAGACCAGTCTGGGCAACATAATAAAATCCCAACTCAATGAAATAAAATGTTTAGGGTACTTTAAATAGCTTTAACTTCCCTTAATATTCTTTGAATCATTTTTTCCTATAAATATTTACTAGACATCAGCTGTGTGTTGCATAGCTAAGTACCATGCTAAGTACTAAATACAAGAATTAAAGTCAGTGGTAATTAACATCACACCCAGTGGTGTTCCACAGAAGTCCATGGCTGGATATGACCAGAAATCTATTTAATATTCATTTCAGAAACCTACTTAGTTTTTCATTCTACCTTTCAAACTGTATCATATTTCCTTTTTCTTTTCTTTTCTTTCTTTCTTTTTTCTTTTCTTTTCTTTTTTTTTGTACCAGAGATCAAACTCGGGACCTTGGGCTTGAAAGGCAGGCGGTGGAACCACTGAGCTAAATCTCCGGCCCTTTCTTTCTTTTTAATCTTTCTCTTTCTTTTCCCCAATTCCTTTCCCCAAAGTGTATTGCTTTACTCTTTAATTCTGTTATTTAAACTTTTTATTGGTCATAATATTAAACCTAATCTAATCTAAGTACATTTATTGGCCTGAATAAATATAACCCTATTCTTTTTTTTTTTTTTTTCTTGGTACTGGGGATCAAACTCAGGACCTTGTGCTTTCAAGGCAGGCAGAAGCACCACTGAGCTAAATCCCCAGCCCCAACCCTATTTTTTTTGTTTGTTTGTTTTTTGAGACAGGGTCTTGCCAAGTAGCCCTAGCTGGCCTTGAACTCACTATGTAGCCCAGGCTAGCTCCAAATTCTCATCGATCCTCCTGGCTCATGAATGCTGAGATTACAGGCGTGCATCACCACACCAGCTATCTATCACACATTTTACCACATAACATTTGTGTACAGAGACAAAAAATTTGTTAAATTTTAACAAAATGAAATGTATTGGTATAGGAGAGATTGAGAGGTTATTCAGCAATGCCACATCTGTACATCCACATTAGATCTTGGTCTTACATTCTTCTGTTTTATAACAATATTATAAGCTGTGTGGAGGGGCTGACATGGGCTCTCTCATGGTATTACATGCTGACATTTTATTTTCTCCACTCAGTGGGATGGCTTGCAGGGTGGGGTGCAGCTGGATTATCACAAAATGGCAAATGTTCCATTTCTGCTAAAGATCCAAGGACACTGCAGACTGATGTGGCAGGTGTTTTTGCCAGAGCCCGTAAATTCACTCATATACACAAAAGGGTTTCGGGCATTAGAATCTTCTTAGCCAACTTTCAGAGGACAGATTACAAGAAGGTAGTCCTCAAAGCACACTTGGCAAAAGGCAGCAACACAGATGTGTACCCGAGGGCTCTCAGTCTATTACCTGTTTATTTCTCCTTTCAGTTTTCAGTACTCTACATCCTGAGCTTCACCGTCATCATGGTGGGATTTATCTTGTACTGCTCCACCCCAACGCGCACAGCAGAGCCAGCAGAAAGCAGCGTGCCCCAGCTCACCAGCATTGGGATCGACAACCTGGGACTGAAGCTTGAGGAGAGCAGTCTCCCGGAGATCCAGTCTGCGGCCCTGTAGCTGGAGGATCTGGCACAAGCCTGCGCACAACCAGTGGAAAATGAGCCTGGCGGAGGCTGAGGGGACACTTGGGGAAACGACTGGACACGGAGTAGACACTATAGCATTGGATGCATCCAGTGGTTAGATTTCAGAAAGGAACATTGAACAATGTACCCGAAGTAGAAATACCAAAATAAAGCAGAACCGAGGCTAGGATTATGTTTCTGTGTGCTGAGGGGGCTCCACATTGGGGGTTCAGAGGCACACAGCAGAAAGCAGGATGGGGAAATATACCCATGAAGGGGGAAGCCTCCGAGCAGGGCCTGAAAGCAGGCAGTCCAGGCTGTGCTAGATGGTCAGGAGTAGGGATTGACCAGTGTGGTTCTGGAGAACATTTCCTCTGTTGTGAGCTTTGGGTTTTTGTCCCTCCAACGCAGTCATTGTCCACAGGTCTTGTGGCCTTAATAACAGTGAGGCCTGGTCACTGATAGCACATGGCAGGGAAAATGGGGGTGGTGCACCTGAGAATTCTTGGGATGGAAGAGTGACTACAGTACTGTGGAAATATTGAATGGAGTGATGCTGCCTAGGAACCCTCTCCCAGTTGTCTTGCTCTCTTCTTTTTCTCCTCCTCCTTTTCTTTTTAAAAATACTTCTCCATCACTCCCTGCTCCCGCCAGCCTCATTCAGTCCATCATTCCAGGTACATCGCAAACTCTGCTCTCAAAGTCTGGACTCTTCCACATTTTCAGCCCCACACCATATTCTCCAAGATTTCTTCAGACCTGAGTAAATATGTAGATGCCATCCTTTTTAAAAAGTTCTCACGACTCTCAGGTTTATTCCTGTTGATCTCATTAATTTTCAGCTCAGAAAACTAAGTCTTACTGCAGATTATCACATCATGGAGAAAGCTTTATTCTAGAACTGGTAAAAAGAAACAAAACCCCCAAATTAACAATTTATCAGAGAGGAGTTGCCCCACAGCACTGGAAGTCCCCAGTTGTTAAAAGAGGACACGACACTACTTCTTACCAAATGTTTATAATGCCACGATATTTCTCCAGTACAAAGTATTTACATGTAGCTAAAGTATTAACATGTATAGTATGAACCACCAGAATGCCATTTTGGAAAACTCAACTTTGTATATAAATTTTTTGTGAAAGTATAGTAAATTATATGTGTTCATATGATTAAAAGACTTTTCGTTCATGGGAATACAGTCACTTTGTATGTGTGTGTGTGGGTTTTTGGGTTTTTTTTTGGTACCGGGGGTCAAACTTGGAACCCTGCACTTGAGAGGCAGGAGGTGGAACCACTGCGCTAAATCCCCTGTCCTACTGTGTGTTTTCTTAAATTAACCAGTTCCTGTGGATATTAAATGTCTTGACGTACAAGGGGTGATCAAAATATATGGGTTAAGTTAAAATTTTTAATATAATAAAAGACACATTGCCATTAATCTCCCCAAAATACCCCCTCTTGCTCAAACACACTTATCTTGTTGTTCTTGCCACTTTCTGAAGCAGTTCTGGAAGTCCTGTTTAGTGAGTGTCTTTATGGGGTGTGATAAAAAAAATACAGTTAATGCTGCTGCCAGATGCCATCCAATGGAAATGAGAGCTTGTAAAAACATAACAATATGTCCTCATTCACCTTATTTCCCGGATCTGGCACCATGAAACTTCTAGCTCTTCCCCAAAGTCAAAATGACCATTGAAGGTAAATATTTTGAATTGATTCAGGACATCAAGGCAGCCATGACAACATAGCTAAAGACACTCACCAAAGAGGACTTCCAAAACTGTTTCAGAAAGTGGCAAGAACAATAATATGATTGTGTTTGAAGTAAGGGAGAATAATGGGGGCCCACTAATAGCAATTGTCTTCTGCTGTAATAAATTTTTAAAAACCTAAACATTGACTTTTTTTTTTTGAGACAGGGTTTTCCTATGGACTTCAGGCTGGCCTTGTACTCAGTATGTAGCCCAGGCTGGCCTCGCATTTGCAGTGATCCTCCTCCTTCAGCTTCTTGAATGCTAAGATTGGAGGTGTGTGTTGCTACGCCCAGCTAACATTCACCATACTTTTTGATCACACTTCATCTTTGAGATTTCTTCATATCCAGCTTTCGAATCATGTCTTCCATGAGACAAGGCAGACAAAATAGGGAGTACCTAAGATTAAGGAAATTCAGAGTGAGCTTACAGGTCATTTGTAGGAATGAATGTTTTCTAATTCTCAGTGACCACAGTGGATCTCTTTTTTTTTTTCACTTTTTTCAGTGCAATAACTTTTCATTCCCTGCAACCTATTAAAAGTGATTTTACTACTGATGTTTACTTTCACACCCCACCACTGACAATGTCAACGAGTGCAAAAGATTCTGTGAAGACATTTGGCCTTTTGGAGAAGGCTCAGTTTGATTAGCACAATGATTATTTAAGTAACCTGTGTCAGTGTGGGGATAGGGGGATGTAGAGAAGCGTCAAGGTTGAACTCTGTCTTTCCTTCTGTGGAGCCTTCCCAGGTCCCGGCTAGGCTGCACTGTCCTCTGGACCCCGGTGTCCCTCCCTGCTCACAGCTTCCTAGCAGCACTTAGCTGCCCCACCTCACCATGTGGGTCCCTGTGGGCCAACAGTGCCCCCCCCCCTTTAACTGCCAGAGGGAAAAAGCAGCTTTTCTTGCTTTAATTGTTCATCTGCATCAGAAAGTCCAGTATCCCTGAGATAGGAACCACTGCAGTAAGAAGGGAGCGATAGGCTCTCCCAAAGGAAGATTGTTGCTTCATTAGGCGGAGCTACTACCTGGGTCATCAGGTGTAAACTTGGCGTTTCCCAACCCAATGCTTTGCAGCACCAAGACCTTTCAGTAATGGTTTGTCGTAAACCCAGCATTCCCCATCTTCATGGAATAACCTTGTCTCCCACTGAATTTCCTTTTCCTTCCTTTCTTGGGCTTCTGCTCTTTGCCTTTCTTCCAGTCTGTACTTTGCTTCAGTTGCTGCATTAATATCTCTGATTTTTAAATTGAAAGTGACATCCTTCCAAAGGCAGCAGGACTCATACTCATTCTGATTTTCCAACTTCCTCACTTTCTTCTTTATAGGTAACTTCTTAGTATCTACAAAGACTGTATTTTCCTCTGTTGCATACTTTGTGAACATTATACCATTCCACTCCAATTGAACAAAAAGACTTCTTATCATTTGGAGAAAAAAATCTCAGTGTTAATTCTGTGTTTCTTGCCCCCTTAGAAAGGTTTAGTGTGGAAGACGATGTTTGCACTATATAGTCTGTTTTGGATCAATACTGCATTCTCCTAATTCCACCCAGGGCACTGTGAGGATAGACCTTCCATAACCATTAGGGAATGTGAGGATGTAATGTTCATCATAGTCTAGACACGAGACACAATTCTGCCCTATGTTGTACACCCCAATTGACATCGCAAGGAACTTTGATTTGGTCCAGATATGAGCACTGAATTGTATCTTCTTGTTAAAACATTCAGCATAAAAGGCTGAAATTGGTGGATGATGGGAAACCTGCTCAGCCATGAATGTTACACTGTTTTTAGAAATCCAAGGAATAGGTCCTTCTGAAACTAGCTCTGTGTTCTCTTCAGTGTCATTTGGTAACACCCAGTGACACTGAAAGATCTCACCCAAAATGGGGTTGTATGGCTTTTTGGCAACTGATCTTTTCCTTCCTGCATGAAAGGCTGAGAGGTACCATTTCACGACCTGAACCATTTGATCTCTGGGATCCTTCTGGTCACTAATGCTCACAAACAGGTCTGGATGTGCAAAAAAGTCTGCATACATTTCTAAAAGAGATCTTTCAAGAAGAAATGTTGGAAGAACTACCTTAGTCAGATCCATTCCAAGCCTAACCTGTGACAGGTGCATGATGACACTCCTGTGCTCCTCCACTGGCCCTGCCTCCCTGTTGTCATCTCTATCAACATGTGAGTCAAAAAGGTCAGCATCACTTGTTCCATTGGACATGGAAGAATTCAGTGATTCTGTGGTGTCTGGGAGCTTTAGGCTATTTCCCAAGCTGCTGTGGGTCAAGACTGAGGCAGATCCAGAAGAATGTATTAAGCACTTTGGGGATGAGCTGCTTTGATGGAATTCATCAGTGTCATAGAACTCATCTTCACTGCTAGAGTACGAGAATCCCCGGGCTGTATTTGGAGACAAGTTGACATGGCTTGGAGGAGTCAGGCTGCTACTAGGTGGTGAATGCCCACTGCCTGTACTATTTGGTGTTGGAGTCTGATGATGTCCCAAGGTAGCTAACACAGGCCCAATGGGGAGGGAAGATGGATGCTGCTCTGATTTACACAACTGAGCAGGTTCTGGAGATAAGACAGGCTGGGAAGGCATTGTGCTGATCTCAGGCTCCAAGGAACTAGGTTGATATATTGCGTCTACAGGGTTAATAGTACTTTTAGCAATCTGCAGCAACACAATGCAGTGTTTAATTGATTCTACCATGCTATTTGCTGCTTCCTTGAGAGTTCAATTTTCTTTCTCTGTTCATCATCTTTACCGTTTTGAAGCTTGTTGTCAAAAAGCTTTAATTATTCTATCAAGATCTGTAGGTAAGCATCAGCTTCTGTCAATTTCTTGTCAAAGTCTTGGATACTAGGAACAAATCCTGAGTCTAACTCTTGAAGCTGGAGAGTATGGCGAAGCATTGTTTCTTCTAAGGCATGGATCCACTTCTCTCGCTCGTCAGCATCATGAGCCTGGGTCTAATGCGTCCTCTGCGAGAGCCTGTCATCATTTTGTCCTTGGACATGTAGTAGGACAGCAGCCCTATGTTGTAGTGCAGCATGAACCAACGGTACTGCCAGCCTTTCATAACGTTAGTCCATTTGCTCAGTGGCCCTTCCATGATCGACGCCATCTTGGGAGCAACACTGTCCCTTTTTCAACTTTTTAGCCTTTGAGTCATCTCATTTCTTAGATGTTTATTAAATAAATTTTGCCTTTCGTGTCATTAGCAGGTTATCCTGCCCTGCTTGGTTCTTTAACCCATTTATCTTAAACCTTGTCTTCCCTACCTGTTCCTCCCTGGAGATCGGGAAGGAGTTCAGCCTTGACAGCCTAAACTGAAACTCAGAAGTCAGTGTCCCAGAGAAGTAATGCTATGAATGACAAGCCCGCTGTTAAATAATAGTGCAGCAAGGCTGTGCATCCTGGTTTAGGTAAATGTGTGAGGCCTGGGAGTTTAACCAGCCTGTATACATTGCTTCCATGGAAAAATATGTTTTCAAACATCTGACTTATACCCAAGGGTTTTAAAAACAATGTATTTTAAGTAATCCAAGATGTTCAAAGTACCACCATTTCTACATGTGTCACCTGCCACATTTCATGCACCCAATAGTCATTTGTGGCTATTGACTGCTATGTTGGATAATGCAGGTTTAACTTCTTCAAATTAGACTATCTGGGAGATTGTTGATGTAATATAAATTGCTTTATTACACAAACTAAAGTGTCTAAGTTATCATGACATTTAAAAGCACAAATATGTTTGATGACAATCCACTGCTTTTATTTTTATTTTAAAATAATCTTTCAGCATTTTATTATAAAAATGTATTAATGAAGATAAGAATCTACTTAAATACATGCTAATCCCCAAGGCTAAAACCCAAGAGCATATACAAACTTTTGAAGCACATATTCTTAATATTGATTTTTCAATATTTTTTGTAGATATTCGTGCCATTAAACAAAGCCCCGATGAATAGCATAATAGAGTTGTTAGGTGGTTCCCTAGTGCTGTATAAATGTGATAAATTGTGCCACTGGACTGCTGAAGCACTGAGAGGAGAGGGCTTTGCCAGTGCCATTCTCAGTATTTGTATTTTGAAATTAGGTTCTCTTTCATGGATAGGCAATTAATATTTCTCATCTTTCTAATACAAGCTGGCCTCTCATCCAGTTATGTACCGTATTTCAGTGGAGTCAGCAGGTGGCGCTTTAACAATTGCAACAATCCAAGCGACAATCTCATTTTATAGTTCTTCCACACTGGCCTATTAACGTGCTTTGTTTTTAAACAGTGTATTATAAAGACTGTTAAAGATTGTCTTCGTCAGGCATTGTCCAGGGTTAACAGTTGAAGAAATGGGTCTCAAGAGTTAAAACACCTTTTTAAACTGTGTCACAGATCGGTAGCTAAGGTGACAATAGAATTCAGGGTTT